CCGGTGTCGGGGTCTTCGGTGCACCGGAAGGACGGCGCTCTCATACCCGGGTATATTGTGGCCAAATGGTCGTGAAGGGCGTCCAGGTTTTGGAGGAAATCGCGGGGGGAGGCGCCCAACACTTGTAATATACTCTCGTAACCCGATTCCTGGCAAAAGTCGAAAAACATTCCGCCAAACATTTCCAGGATTTCATTGGCAGGGATTTCTAGTGATTACAAAATTGTACATTAGTTTAGAAATTTTTATTATTATTAGATGTTTTTGTGAGGAATATATCAAATGAATAATATTGTATAATTTCATGCAAATTCAGTCTCTTCATGGACATAAATCATGCGATTTTTTTTGTTTGTTTGAAAAGTAATTTTTAAATATATTTAAATACAGAATAATTTGTTTTCAAACGAAATACAAATTGTTATTTGAAGACCGTATCAATGCGTGAGGCATTCAAATAGCCATTCATTGTGTGAATGGCTTTTTGTTATTCAGTGTTTGGCTTATTAACGGCTTTTATTTAGTATTTAAAAGAAATGCAAACTGTGGTCACAATTACTTAATACTCTTTCGGCCGCTTCGACCAAATTGTATGTAATCTCGTCGTCATATATGAGTCGTACGAGGAATGAACCCTCCATTTCCACTTCGGCCTCCTTTCTGATATTCATACAAAATATTCATATTAAGTCATAAATAATAATAAGTAAACCATAATACAAATTATTGGGTTTAGTATTTCATGAATTTCTTGTAAGATGAGAGAGAGAGAGAGAGAGAGAGAGATTATATTTAACAAAACATATCAAGTCTTGTAAAAAACATTTAAGTTAAGTTATGATGACATATTTTCGAAAATACCAAAAACTCATGAACTTCTGACAATTCATATACGGTAAATAATAGTAATTTCGCTAATAATTATAAATTAAAGTTAGTAATAATGACTGAAAGCATGGACATCACAATAAATGAAATACAGTATATAATAAATGAAATATTCATTTATTTATAATAAAACAAAATATTGCTACAATTGATATTTAATTTTATAAATTCTTTAAATAATACAACAGTTAAAACTGAAATGCTTTGAAATTTTAATTGAAATTTATAACAAACGTACTGTATATTATTGTGTATAATTAAATAATACTGTAATACAATGTGGATTAAAACTTATTTGGCTGTTTGTTTTCAGTCAAACCTACTTTTATATACGAGTTGCGTGTATTGAATACTAAAATAGATTACGGAAAAAATTTATGGATACGAGTGTACCGACTAATGAAACATTAATACAATTTGTTGATAATTATTGTTTAAACCATAGACCCATCGCTACATAAATCCAATACAAAGGGAACGGAAAAACTAATAAAAATTTAGTGTTTGGGTTAAGTTTTGGCACTGAATGCTCAATGTATTTAATACACAATTAAATTATAAGTTATTATAAAAACTTCAAAACAAAAAAAATCTATATTTTAAAAATACAATATTTTTCTTTTTAAAAAAAGTATAACAAATAAAAAAGATTGAGAAATAAATTTCAAAATTTATGACTTCACACACAAAACGCATTTCAAAGTCTAATAATAGTAATCATAAAAAAGTGGCATGATAAATAAATTTTTGGGCTCAAAACAAAAACTAACTCGAGTGATATAATTTTTTGCCCTATCTCAATTTTTGATTTATACTCAATTTATTCCACTCATAATTATTATTGCTTTTTATGGGTACATACACTCGCAGTATGTAAGGGCTGGCACTGAAAATACTGGCGAAAAAATATTTATCGTTTTTCGCCACACATTTGAATCTCGGCCTAAGATTTATGCATTTAATTGCAAAGCATTTTGTATGGAAATAATAAGCAATAAATTTGATTTACGAAGAGTTATGGATATAATATGTGTAACAAAATAATTACCGAAAAATATGTTGAGAAATAAATAGTTCGCATAGAAATCTAACCCTTTTTATATACGTAAAAAATGTTGATAATATGTATTTAGTAACAAATATTTGTCGGTAACTAAACTCGGGTAATATTTAATAAAAATTCAATAAATGATTATTTCTGTAATATTTAATTAGCATAAAATGTGATATAATTATTTCAATTTCTGTTGCTAAAATAATATAAAAATAATAATAATAACGGTTAATTTGGTTGTATTGTAAAATTAACTCTTAAATACCTAACGAATAGTTTTAGGCAATATATTTATTATGTGAGTCTTTATTATATTTTTTTTGTTATCCGTAATATTTTTATTGTTTTAAAATTTTGCTAATAAATTGTTATAATTTTTTACTTCTCTCTCTCTCTCTCTCTCTCTCTCTCTCTCTAATTGATTTATTTTTAGAGATTGGAAATTATTATTTTACACTTACAATAAAAACTATTAACACTATTTTAAAATAATTAAATTAATTTTGTGTTATAAAATTGTTTTTAATTAATTTTTTCAAGTTTAAGGACATAACATAAGATTAATATTTCTATTAAATTAATATTTATTATTTGATTTTAATTCAGTAATGGTATATTTAATAATATAAAGTTTATATTAATAAATTTCAAATTGCTTTAAATTAATCACGAATACTGTAATATTCTCGGAGTCCATATAAATTATTGGGTTGAAAGTAATACCAAACAGAGTTACCATTTACTATATATAGATTACATATATGTAGGAATTGTATTGTAATTATGATTGTATATTAAATATAGACCACTGTATATAAGAGATTGCCAGATCGAGTAATACCAGTATTAGTTTTGCTGAGGTTTTCAAACTTTGGGATCAATTTTCACTTATAATTGAAGTGTGAGTTAATACCTGAAGAGAGAGAGAGAGAGAGAGAGAGAGAGAGAAGTAAAAAATTATAACAATTTATTAGCAAAATTTTAAAACAATAAAAATATTACGGATAACAAAAAAAATATAATAAAGACTCAATTAATTATTTTAAAATAGTGTTAATAGTTTTTATTGTAAGTGTAAAGTAATAATTTTCAATCTCTAAAAATAAATCAATTAGAGAGAGAGAGAGAGAGAGAGAGAGAGAGCTTAACCAATTTTAATGATAGCTAAGAAATGCTCATAAAAATGTGAACAAAATTTATACCTTAACTCTTAAGTGTGCGATAAATGTCAGTCGAAAAAGGTCTCCAAATTAATGGAAACTTTTTTCTTAATTATTTGATTGACAAGTAATTTAAGATTGATTTTGATTTTGCGTCAAAAAGTACTCGTTTTTCTTAATAAAAATAAAATATTTTGATGTGTTTTTGCGTTCATTTGATATAATTTAGGTTTTTTGAACCACATTTGCCACACAAAACCAATTATAAGAGAGCGTTAACCATAGGAATTGCCGCTTGTTTTGTATGTTTTCTGAACGTATTTTTAACACTAATTTAGTTTGAAATCATAAATGAATTCTTTACGAAAAACTCAAAAATGAAGAAAAAATAAATTTTCCTATTTTTGGTGATGAATGCGATCTAAATATCTTTCAATTTTTATTCACAAAAAACGGATTTACTAAATATTTTCGAGAGAAATTATACTATAAGATTAGGTGACCTTTTAATACCTGCGATAAATAGCTTGCTAACGAATTATGTATTTATCCGTAAACTGAATTTTTGCTTATTTATAGACAAATTATTTGTATAATAATCTTAATGTTAGCCTAATCTGTGAATTGAATCTTAATTGAGATGAATTAGCCGGGGTTGTTTGTGTTCATACAAACTGTATATAAATTTGTGTTTTTAGTTGTTATTTAATATACAAAACCAAAATAATCGTTGCATTTATCGGACAGATTTGTTTTATTAAACAATGAGGTGATAATTAGTGAACTCTATCTATAATAAACGCACAAATTTGCTATTTTTTGCTGAATTACATTAACATTGAAATACACGATATGAACCACATTTGCCACACAAAACCAATTATAAGAGAGCGTTAACCATAGGAATTGCCGCTTGTTTTGTATGTTTTCTGAACGTATTTTTAACACTAATTTAGTTTGAAATCATAAATGAATTCTTTACGAAAAACTCAAAAATGAAGAAAAAATAAATTTTCCTATTTTTGGTGATGAATGCGATCTAAATATCTTTCAATTTTTATTCACAAAAAACGGATTTACTAAATATTTTCGAGAGAAATTCTACTATAAGATTAGGTGACCTTTTAATACCTGCGATAAATAGCTTGCTAACGAATTATGTATTTATCCGTAAACTGAATTTTTGCTTATTTATAGACAAATTATTTGTACAGTAAATATCAAAATTTAGCGAACACTGTTTATTATATAGCTGATAAGAAAGCACTAAAATAGTTAAGGGATTAAATTGAATTCAAAAATACAGTCATGTGCTGAAAGGTGTTAACATATGGTTTTATCAAATATTTTATTTTCATTAAATAAAGTTTGTTACAAATATTGAAATTTTGCACAATTATAACCTGTGACTGATTACTTATCAGTAAAAAGAAATAATAAGAACCAATATAAAAAGGTTCACAAACACGTGTTTTGTCATTTATCGGAAATAACTTGAATTTTAATAATTTTCTGAAGTTATAATTATAAACAGAAAGATGGGTTTGTCTAAGTTTGCAAATCCAGATAGGGTTGAATTAGTAAAGATAAAGTATGGCTGCAGTAATGTGAATTGTCCCGATTATAAAAAAATCGCCGGGAAATCACTCCAACAAACCATTGATCTCTTCGCTGAAAGACATCCCGACCTCAACCAAAGCCAACTACCTGTGCGATCAACTGTAAAGAATTTGATCGATAGGTTTGAGAAATTAGGTAAGTTCTACAAATATTGAGATTTGTGCACAATTATATATAATTATATCTTATTTTTAAGGATCTGTTGCCAATAAGCCTTATAACATAAGGAAATCTGAAGATAAAAAAATTCTAGAAGAGAATGTTTTGGCAAAAATCAACAGAAGTCCGATGAAGTCCATCAAAAGGACTTCTATTGAATTGGAAAGGGAGGGAATTATTTGTAATCCCTCAACACTTTATCGAATTTTAAAAACTAATAAGTTTATACCTTATAAAATTCGATCTGTTCAACAATTAAGTGAAACTGATTTTCAAAGAAGAGTCGAAATGTGTGATTGGTATGTAAACTATAAACATTTTTGTTAATTGTGCACAAATTTTAATATTTTTATCAAATAGGATTCTTGACAAAATTGGAAATGACTGGGAAGTTCTTAAGAACTTCTTTTTCATGGATGAGTCAATCTTTTACACAAATGGTACATTTAATACCCATCAGAACCGCTACTGGTCTCAGACCAATCCAAGAATAGCAGCACCTGTCAACATTCAAGGGGGTGAATCAGTAATGGTCTTAGGAGGTATATGGCAAGATCGCGTTTATGGGCCATATTTTTTCGATAAGAATGTCACCGGAGAAAGCTTTTCTACAATGTTGTGCACAGAAATCATACCATCACTTCAGCCAGATCTCGAAAATTTCCCTGAGTGTATCCCTGTGAGTATTTCCAAATATTGAAATTTGTGCGCAATTAACATAAAATTGATTGTTTTAAAGGTATTAGATGGCTGTCCAGGGCATTGGTCACTAAAATCGAGAGAAGCCCTTAATTATTATTTTGAACAGAAATGGATTGGAAGGGGAGGATCACAAGGTGGTCTTGCAGAATGGGCTCCTAGAAGTCCTGATTTAAATCCAATTGATTTCTATTTATGGGGTTACATCAAGAATTATGTATTTAGACCTGAATTTATGCCATATACTCTCGAGAATTTAAAACTCAAAATCACAGAAGCATTCAATTCAATAACTGTTGAGACTCTGGAAAAAGTCAGAAACAGATTTGCAATGAGAGTCTGTCATTGTCTTGCCGTTGAAGGACGACAATTTGAACATTTGATTTAATAATACTGTCTAATTGTGCAAAATTTCAATATTTGTAACAAACTTTATTTATTTAATGAAAATAAAATATTTGATAAAACCATATGTTAACACCTTTCAGCACATGACTGTATTTTTGAATTCAATTTAATCCCTTAACTATTTTAGTGCTTTCTTATCAGCTATATAATAAACAGTGTTCGCTAAATTTTGATATTTACTGTATAATAATCTTAATGTTAGCCTAATCTGTGAATTGAATCTTAATTGAGATGAATTAGCCGGGGTTGTTTGTGTTCATACAAACTGTATATAAATGTGTGTTTTTAGTTGTTATTTAATATACAAAAACCAAAACAATCGTTGCATTTATCGGACAGATTTGTTTTATTAAACAATGAGGTGATAATTAGTGAACTCTATCTATAATAAACGCACAAATTTGCTATTTTTTGCTGAATTACATTAACATTGAAATACACGATTAGATTGGGATCAATGGATAACCCGATTCTGTATTGTATAACAGAATATATAATTTAAAACACATTTTTTGCGCTCAAAATAAACTGATTGAATAAAAATGAATTACATTAACATTGAAATACACGATTAGATTGGGATCAATGGATAACCCGATTCTGTATTGTATAACAGAATATATAATTTAAAACACATTTTTTGCGCTCAAAATAAACTGATTGAATAAAAATTTTCTGATATAATATAAAAACGCTTTAATGTTATGTTATGTTTGAGTTGAGATGTCAGGGAAAATGTGATGAAAGGCTACACTCGGCTAATGAATGAATAAATTGAAGCAAGCTTAATTTCAAAAATACAAGTCAATGAGATGAACAACCATACATAGCTATTTAAAATTAATATTGTATGAACAGGCTAATTCACATAGTAACGACAATCAATTTATTGTTAAAGAGTTTACTGAAGTAACAAATAAATGGGAAAACTTTTTGGTGGAAAAGTAGCTAAAAGTGGCGATCCATGTCTGAACTCTCACAACATAGCCATCCCTTTAAAGGTGTGTTTCGATGATTATGTCCTAATTTGACGATTACAGGGACCGACAAACACAGTCATGTCAGCACTCCATTAGCACCACTTCCTTCATAATATACTATATCTGGCGATAGCAGTGGCTATACCTATGGCTAACGATCCCTAAACGCAACTATAATGCTATCTATTCTTCAATATAACACAACCGAATGGTGACGAGTCATCTCTGGTAACCAAATCTCGCACACAATTCCCCCTTTCCTTCAGCTCTCAGATTATTTATCCAATCATCGAAACACACCTTTAAAGGGATGGCTATGTTGTGAGAGTTCAGACATGGATCGCCACTTTTAGCTACTTTTCCACCAAAAAGTTTTCCCATTTATTTGTTACTTCAGTAAACTCTTTAACAATAAATTGATTGTCGTTACTATGTGAATNATTATTTATCCAATCAATAAATGAATACCACATCAGAGAGAGAGAGAGAGAGAGAGATATTCCGGGAGATGTCAATAAAAGTCTATATTTAACTCACATATTATGCTCATATAATATAGAGAGATAGTCACGACTTTTTATAAAAGTATTTTCATTCATCCAACGGTTAAGTAGAAAATAATCGCCAAAAATAAGAAAAATAAAATTATATTTTTTCCAAACTATTTGCCCAAAAAATATTTGTACCTCTTTTTGTTGATGGATTGAATAGTTTTTGGTTATTATTTTGTGTTTTTGTTTTTTCTCGCTGTCTATACATTGGCAAAATCGGCACAAATATTATGCATATATTTATATTTTATATAAATTGCAAATTATTAGTCAAATGTGTGAATCAATTCCTTATTCACACTTTAACTCAATTTATATTTTTTTGCCACACATTTTTCATTTTAAATATTTATATTTATGAAACTTTAGATTACATTTTTCGCACTCAATATTAGATTAATAACCATTTTATAAATATTTTGCAAATTATATACCCAAATCACACATTTATTATGGGTTTTGGTATTTGTTTTATTTGTTTATAATCATTTATATTAATTTTAATACAATTAAACCAAAAAGCAAATTAATAATATTTTCCACATTAATTCCCCTAATGAATAAATTATAGATTATACATATAATTAATATACAGTATTTGTATAAATATTAAATTCAAACAAATTAGCATCCGGGTTTATCATTTAAATATTAATACACGCATTTCAAGTAAGTTTAAAATAATGTATACAAATCTCAAACATTAATTTCTACTAATGATAAGAAATATAATATACTTGTAGATCAAATCAAGTACAAACCAAATATTAATTCAACATATTATTAATTTAGTTTACTTAATGCTGAATTAATAATGAGTTTACCTCTCATATAACAGTAATTTAATTTAAGAACCTTGAGCCCATGCAAACTAAAATAATTCTTAATTAATTATTAAATTTTTAGGAAATTTAATTATATACATAAATGAATCAATGTCTTAAATATTTAATGAATATAATAGTGATAGATTTTTATGTATCTTTACGAATTTACCATCGTTTTAATGTAGGCCTCAGACTTATGAGCCACGTTTATTAAATCTAGTAGCTACTCGACTGTCTGTAACTTACGTGACAAACACACATATTTCAGATTGAATTTTAAAATAATATTTATTAAATACAAGAATCAATAAATAGATATTAATGGCATTAGTGCAAATAATTTAGATCATCGATGAGCTGACAGACATTGAATGCACTGTTTGTGTGTATAAAGTGATTGAATTTTAAAATAATATTTATTAAATACAAGAATCAATAAATAGATATTAATGGCATTCAATATAACTGATATTTATGTATAAAATCAATTGTCAGTCAAAGGGAATGTGACATCAATTTGTTATAAATGCAAACAATAATAGCAAATGTGATCCAAAATACATCATTCAATGTCAGATAAATCAATAATATTTTTTGGTGATGTAGTCATAACTTGTATATAAAAAAGTTTTGTAAGAAAATAAAATGTTATATATTTTAAGGCAATAATAAATAACATAAAGAATTGTATGAAATATGATTAAATCTTTAATACATTGAAAGTTTTTATTAGCAAATAAAGTATAGTTAGTATTGTGTAAAAAATAATAAGGTGTCGTAATATACGTGTTTTATTTAAATATTAAATTTTATTTCTCGTATAAATATTAAATTTTAACATAAAATTATACTAGCTTAACACAATTCAGGTTTGTCTAAAATTGTTAGTTTAAAATTTGAAAACAAAAATTAATGATATCTTATAATAAAAGTCTACAAAAATTCAATTTACTCTTTATGATGTATATTTGAAAGTTTTCAATTATATATTTACAAATTATATATGTTTTTATGACTAAATTTAATTATATTTCTGTGAATAATAAGATTTATTTTTAGCATAAGTTCTCAGAAGAAACAGTTAATTAAATATTTATCAAAAAACTCTAGAAATATAACTAATAATAAAAATTACGAAATAAGTTCACTTAACAAATCCATTTATACTTAAAAATAAAATATATTCTGGGTACTAACATTATTTATATAAAATATGAGTTATAAAATGCAATAACAAATTATTAGATGTACATAAAAAAGTGATAATGTTTTGACCTTTTATTTAGAATTTGTATTAATAATGTATACCGTATTTCCTGTCTATAAGAGTAATAACAGAATAAATGTTTTGACAACAGAATTGTTAATATTTTGATGTTTTAAACAAACATTTACAGTAAGTCTCTCCCACTTACTATTATTATATCCATTCACACCTACACCTGAAAATAAAAGTACAGTTTAATCCCCATAAGACTCTAACAAATAAGTAGACTTACATTCAAACTTATACAACATGTAGTACTTGATGAGCTCACATACGGTTATGTTAATCACAAATCAAATAGTTGTATCTAAATTTGAAAAATAATTACAATTATGTGAGAATACTGTGCAGTAAATGTTGATTTGTTTGAAAATACTTAACATTACATCAAACCCTTAACACCTTTGACCTCTTGTGTACACAACGGTATGTCTATTAGTATTGTTTGTTAAGAGTTGGGAATAAATGATTGAATTCTGTGATCAATAAATCATAGGAAAGGTAAGAGAAATGTATGAAAACATTATATGATAAGCCATTATCAGGTTTGTTTGTAAAAATAAATACAATTTCATATTTGATTTATATAACAAAATGTAAAAATAAAATATTAATCCACTATTTATTGGAGAATAAATTTAATTTATATACAAAAATTGTTATTTTTAATTATCAACAGTTATTTTTGTTGTTAATATAATGCAATAAATGTATATTTTGATTGGTGTGGAGGTGTTTACAAATGATTTATAACTACCGTAATATAACATTAAATTACTGCCCAACAAATCACTCTAAATTAAGGGTTGAATTTGAAATGAAATATATTTTCAGACAAATATGTAAATTAGATTCAATGACCACTTTGATAATCTATGTTAACTTTTGAAAAGTTTCCAACAAATG